AATGTGCTTAAATTGAGCAACTCTTATGGCAATAAAAAAATTTTTTAATCAAAAACTGAATTCAAATAAGATCATTGCATCTTTATTCATTTGTTTTTAGTTAATTACCTGGCACAGAAAAGCGTTGAAACCTTGTAATATTTATCTGTTAACAAATATGAAAAAAATTAGTGTTCTATTTACGTTGCTCAGGAAAAAGCGGTCAAATCAACACCAAATTGCACCGATTTTAAAAATACAACTATTAAATTGAGACTGCTTTGGATCTTCGATCGATTTAAAGCTACCTGTTGATAAAGACGTTTCTTCTCACACGCACACATAGACACACACACTTACATAAATACAAATACACACACAGACACACATAGACTCACACATACACACACTCAAAGACACAAATGCTTACGCGCAAAAATATGATGAAGCCAGTTTCCGATCAGCCGGTAATGTTTAGCCAGCTGAAATTTAACATTCAGTTGAGAACCTTATTGCAATTACCAGAAATTTGATATAATTGTGCTGAATGTGACTGTGCGTAAGATATCGGCTTCCAAACAAAAATACAACCGCAAGCGTTTATAATACAACAGCTTTAGTGTACATCGTGTTCAAAAATTCAGCATCCTACTTTGTGGAAATTCAGCATCAGTAAACCAAAAAAGCTTTGGTTCTGTCACTTTCGAGCTTCTGCCACTCATATCCAATTAGTTTTAATCGTTTGTTCTGCAGTGCCAAAAATTATTTTTTCGTCAGTTTTTGCCTTTTACACGGCATAGATTCACGAGAAAACAACGGTATTTGGAAGCGAGCAAAAAAAAGTAAAACAAAAAAAAAAAGTAAACATTTGGATATAACTATATAGACAATGTCGGACACGTGGAATTCCAAAGTGAGGCTGGTCGGTTAGTTATAATGTGATCTGTAACTAACTAAGCACTGATATTTGAGAAAATTTATTCGATTTAGTAAACAGCTTCTGCTAAATGTCTATTTTCAGATGCCATTATTTTGGTTTTTCCAAACGTAATGAGCTTACTTTTCACTGTTAATGCTTTCAGTAATACGTGTAAGTTAATTACTTTAACTTTTAATTATTCACTTGTTTGTTTTCTCTCTCAATTATTAACAGCGTTATACAGACGGTGACCTAAAAAAAGCCAGGAAGGAAATTGGTTGTATTGGCAAATCGTTTAGTCTGCCTTGCGATGGTTCAGAACATAGCAGTTTTGTAGACTGGTCGTTTGTTCCAGAAATTTCACTTGAAAGAAACCCAAGTACTTCTTTGAGTATTTTTCTAAACACTTTAACAGACGAATATCTAGCAGTGAAGAGCTTTCAAAATGCTAAATGAGTCATTATATTAGTAAACAAACTATACAAACAAGTAAGAAAAAATACTTTTCATTATTAAAGCCTGAGCTAATTCCGGCTGTAAACATTTTACAGATTAACTGTTACAAGAAATTACTGTTGTTTGCAGATTTCCAGTATGATATAATAACAAAAAATTTGGAAGTAATGACACTCTCAAAAAATAATATTGGGTATTACGCTTGCAGAGGAGATTTTGGATTTCGCTATGTTTTTCTCGAAGCGAAAAACTGTTATGATATTTTCAATACGGTAAATGCATCATTCTCACTGAATTTTTAGAGCTGTATGTAAAAAGGCGCCTCAGTTTATAATGTAGTTTACTTTGTTTTTCTAACAAGAGATTAGCAAATTTAGGTAGCATTACAAGTTGCAACTGAAAGACAACCTAGGAGCAAGCAACATCAAATTTTTGCTTAAGGTGTGTAGAAATATTGTTGTATGCAACACACAACTAAGCCACAGAAGACCAGTTTTTTTCCGCTTATTATTAACTAAACACAAAAGCATTTGACAATTTTGTTTCGTAATTTTATGTGGAAATGCTGGAACATTCTTTGCCAAAAACCAGCTTCAAACTGTTCAGTAAATATCAAACTAAAAAAGGAAGGTCATCATTATAGTTGATTGGAACTAAAACAACAGTTATAGCTTGAACGCTGTTTTAAATCTTAGCTGCTCTAAAAATTTTAAAAAAGCTCAAAGAAAAATTTATTTTTACTTTTTTTAAATCAACTTTGAGTAAATACCTGACTTGATTTTATCCAGGTTTTGATACATCACTATTTAAGACAAATTTATTTTTTAAAGTAGTAATTTGAAAGCAAGTCAACAAAACCAAACATTATTCACGACTCTTAATCGCACACTGAAATGACAAACCAGATAGATCATTTCAGAGCATATCTGTTTTTGAAGACACCGGCGGTAATCCATGCGTTTCAAAGTCCTTTTTAAATAAACTGTCGTTTGTCAAAAAACCTCAATCGCAGTTTGTTACTTTGGGAGCTGTTGTATCTCTGTACTGCAGGTAGAAATTTTTCTTAAAAAAAAATTTTTGAAGTTTTTCTATGTGCCTGTACTTAATCTCAGTAAAACAATTTATTTGTCCTATTTAAACTTTAAAAAAATTTTTTTTTATTTGTGATTGTCTACAGTGTTGACCATTTAAAAAAATAATACTTGGTCCTGGGCGACATTAAAAGGTAACAACTTTTAAGAACAAATGCTACTAAAACTGGCTATGATTAATTTACAACTGCCAAAGTTTCTGATCAAATCGCAGTCAAAATAATCTTAGAAATTGCAACAACTATTTCTGAGGGCTACTAAATAGTCAACTAATACTTATTTGTTACTGATTTTCAAGTACAAACAGATTTTCTTTTCTAAAAGCAAGAAGAAAAATCTGTCTGTACTTGATTATATAATCTGCTATTTTTGCAGCTGTAAGTATCATTATGAATACCAAAAATCACCCAATAATATAACGCTAATAATTTATTAAATTTTATTGCAGTGTAAATGCGTATAATAACATTGAAATTATATGGCTGAAAGACGGTGAAACGCTGACTCCTCGACCAATTCGTAGTAGTCAAACTGGCTTGATAATTTCTGATTTTCAAATCAAAAACGCAGGAATTTATCAGTGTCAGGCGAAGTACCGGAACGAAACGTTAAAAACAACAGCAAGTTTACAATTGAGGCCAATAAGGCCTCCTAGACATTGGTTTTAGAGTGTCTTCGAAAAGTATGTCATAGTAATAAGCATGATCAAATACTCAAACTAAAAATTTTCTAAATTTTTATTTTTTTGTAAATGAATCTCGTCTTCCATTACCCTGTACTTTAAAATGAGAAATCTATTTTTATGATGCCCTGGTGCTTTGCAATGAAATTTTTACGGTTTTGCTGTCAGCCTTTGTATAAAGATACCTCTTCAAAACCAGCTATCAAAGTTTTTTAATATCAACACCAATCAATGATTTTTCCAGAATAAATTTTCACATCAAATTTTTCTGTTTGCCTATTCAAGGTTTGTTTTCCACAAAATAACTTCACTTGAACTACGCAAAAAAGCCAAAAAAAATTATTTTTATAAAAATCCTCAGAACGCCTCTTCATTAGAGGAAAAAGTAAGAAAATTATTTGTTGCCTACTATAGATTAGACAGATAGACTAGACAAATACCGCATCGAACTAAAAACAATAAATATTTGAGTGATCGCTCATTATATGTACACCTGTACCGTGCCAATAAAAAAAATTCAAAAAATTAAACCTGTTTATAGATAAAACAA